AATACATTTCCACTAATGCCAACATAATGTTCGAGTCTATTTAAAAGAATGTTGTGGTCAATAGCATCAAATGCAGCACTGAGATCGAGTAACACTAATAGAGAGATACAACCACGATCGGATGATAAGAGCAAATCATGTGTGACTCTGATGAGAGCTGTCTCGGTACTATGGTACAGTCTGAATCCGGACTGAAAATCCTCACAGATATCATTTCTTTCTAGAAAGGAACAGAGTTGTGAGGATACTGCCTTTTCTAGTATCTTTGACAGAAAAGGCAGATTCGAGATCGACCTGTAATTGACCAATTCTGTACGATTAAGTTGTGTTTTTTTAACAAGTGGTTTAATAACAGGCAGCTTAAAACTTTTTGGTACATATCGTAGTGACAAAGATGAATTAATGATATTGAGAAGAGAATCTTTGGAAGCATCTCTTTTAGTAGCTTAGTCGGTATAGGGTCTAACATACATGTTGTCGATTTAGATGATTTAACAAATTAAAAAAAATGTTCCTCTCCTATAGTAATGAATGAATCACATTTTTCCTCAGGGATATTATAATGCACTCCCTGATGCGATGCTGTAGTAGACGGTTGCATAGTTATAATTTCCTCCCTGATATTATAAATCTTATAAGTGTTAAGTGTTAAGTCTTAACTTATAATCGTATAAGTTAAGAACGTAATGATGAAGTTTGATTGGTTATGTAACGTTGGATGGAATGATGGTCCGGCCGGCGCGTATCAGCGCACATAAGTACACACTGTGCAGTAATTTGCGAAAGTTTTTTAGAGAAATAAAAACATGTCGCACCACAACCATTATTTGCACTCGCACAAATGCTCCCAAATATATTTTTAGGTTGCACAGATTAAATTTCAGGAGCATATGCGACCAAAATGTTCGCAATTTCGAACCTTGCACTCCTCAAGCACAAGCTGGCCCGCTTTGGCCGTTGGCCCTGAGGAGCCCCGGCGAGGCCCGATCAAGCCCCGGGGGTGACAGTGGAAACACTGCTATAGACACCTAAAGCCCCTTTCACACAGCGCGTTGATCCCGGGAAATTGCCAGAACGCCTTCTGTGTGAACACAAACACGGCCCGGGATTGATGCCGGCTTGGGGATCTAGTATAACATGGCCGTGTTCAGTCCCGGTGTGAACAAAAGCCGTGATCAATGCCGTGTCGTAATGATGACGCTGAAGCTGGGATCGTTCGCTAGTGAAACGGTTTATGATCGAATTAGAGAGAAAAATGCACAAGCGTGGTTTAGAGAGAAGTCGCAGCTCATAAGCGAACTCAAGTCGCTGCTGAGACACTACATGTCACATCGATGTCACGTGTCTTTACAGGGTTTTTACGGTTGTGTGTGAACGCACTCTCTGATTCCGGAAAATCACTGGCAGTGTGAATGAACCAAAATCAAACGAACCCGGGTCACTTTATCCGTGTATTTTCCCGAATCTCTGTGTGGAAGGGGCTTGAGATAGCAGCACACCTCTCCTCACCTCTGACCCCGTCTGGCTCTACTCACACAATACAGACACATCTGCACTGCGCCGTGATCTGAGAGAGAAACTGAAAGTCCATTTCATGGCAACACTGATGACAAGCACTGCCTGAGTCATGGATAGGGTTGGGAATCGGATGCTTGTTAGGTAACACTTTACTTGAAGGGGTGTACATAAGACTGACATGACACCTTCATAACCATGACATGACATATGTCATGAATATGAAGGAGGGTTTATGCATGTTTATGACAACTGTCATTAAGTGTCTTTCGCTCAATAATGACATTTTGAATGCAAATATGACATTGTTTAAGATGTCTTTGTTATGACACCTTGACATAAACCAATACATCATAACCTGTCAGTGTCTTTGTCATGACAACTTGACATTAAATTAAGTTAAACTGTCATGTGGTTGGTTTTGACATTGGCTGTCATGAGGGCATTATAACTCTGTCATGAATATTTTTCGTGACCTCAACTACAGTGGTACAAATTGAATTTGTCATTAAACAGTTATAATGGCTTCATAACAGCCAATGTCAGAACCAACCACCTGACAGTTTAATGTAATGTTAACCAATAAAGCTAAGTGGTTTCTTAAGTTTGATAATGAATCTGCTATGTCATGTTTATGACAGGTTGTGTTGTCTTAGTAATGTCAAGTTGTCATGACGAAGACACTGACAGGTTATGATGTATTGGTTTATGTCAAGGTGTGATAACAAAGACATCTCAAACAATGTCATATTTGCATTAAAAATGTCATAATTGAGCGAATGACACTTAATGACAGTTGTCACAAACATGCATAAAACCTCCTTCATATTCATAACATGTGTCATGTCATGATTATGAAGGTGTCATGTTAGTCTTATGCACACCCCTTCAAGTAAAGTGTTACCGCTTGGGGTAAAATCAAAATTTAGATTCCTCTTATTGATTCCTTTGTGACCATTTCAAATGACTGATAAAGTTAAAGTTAAAAAAGTTCCCCTAGCCTTGTAATTAAAATAGAAAGAAAGAAAATTTGAAAGAAAGAAAGATTAGTTAGAAAGAAACAAAGTTAGTTTGAAAGAAAGAAAGAAAGAAAAAAGAAAGATTAGTTAGAAAGAAAGAAAGAGAAAGATTAGTTAGAAATTAGCTTGTTGTACTTTCCATAAGATCATCTCTCAGTGCAAATCAAACCAGCTTTTAGGCTAACTGAAATAAAACCATGCCAATCTCTAGGTGTGGTGAAGGGTGTGTGATGATGATGTTGGATATTTTAATCCCAAAGGCCGAGGGAACTTTATCAGGATCATAGTGTCCTGGATCCATGAAATAGCTGACCATTAAAAATATAAATCTTCCCCTCTATGGGAGTTTAACACAGGGGTGTCCTGACTTATGACCCCTGTATTTAAGGAAGAACATTTGTTTATTTACGATACATTATACATTCACAAAGAAAATTGGTGTCCTTAAAGGTTGGATTTTTCCTCCTTTTTTTAATTAAGGCGAGACACGGCAGGCAAAAACATCGTTTTTTTTTCACTGGTCAATTTTGAGATTTCGGGATATTTGTCTTCAAAAACATGTCTTCTTTCAGACTTGTGGTGAAAAAAAGTCCGAAATACACATTTAGGTCTTTATATTACTGCACTTTGTCTGTTTGCGTCTGTAGATTTCTCATAAATTCATCAAAAGTTGGCGTTGTAAATCATCCGTTGCTCCGCGATCGCGATCTGCACCCTGTCATCACACACACCGTTAGAAAGCTCTCTCTCTCTTGTACAATGTTGTCGGATCCAAATATGGTCATTTCCTTTTTATCAGCAACCAATCGTGAAAGTAAAAGGGCGCAAATGTGCAATCTCATTGGCTGATGCTAAATCTTTAAAGCCCGTTTTCTCAAAATGACTTTTCTCTCATACTCAAAGTCCGAAATCTCCACTTCGGTAGCACCTATATACACCAAACTTTCCAGTCTTGTACCTAGTTATATTAAGAAGACATTTACAGAGGGATTTGTAAATATATTATTCCTAGCCCGATTTATATAACATTTTATTCCAAAAAACATGGCAAAAATCTTTTTTTTTAAGGCTATTGACAGTATATTCTGATTTATAGGATAACAAAAGTAGATATCCATAAATCCCTCTGTAATTTTTTTCCCATCTAATATGTGAACACAATGAAAAAATAATTTTGAGCCTGGCTTTATCCAATACTCAGATTTCAATTTTTGAAATATATGCAAATTAGTGCATATTTTATTAGATAATACCTAATTTGCATATTTAAACATTAAATTACAGAAAACTTGTAATACATTTTTTTCTCATCTTAATGTAGGTAATCAACTGGGAAAGTTTCATGGTGATATCTGCCAGTTAAAAAAATTACCCTATTCATCTGTAGTGTCTCGCCTTAAGGCATTAAGATCAATTTACAAAAGATGATTTTTTATTCCTCTTTTTAGTCAACTTTAGCATGGGTGTGTTCACTTATGCTGAGCACTGTATATTGGATCCGCGCAGCTCTTAAAGTGACAGCACTAATATTATCTATAATATTATTATTATCTATAATCAAACAACAGAAGACAGAGAGAAAATGCACTCGTTCTTGACTGAATAACGTTTGTAAGTATATTTGTAATGTATATTTTATTTATAAAGTGCAGTGTTATTTTACACTTGATTACAGTTTCTGTACCTGAAAATCCTAAAACACTGTTTTTTTTAAGTTGTATCTATTTGTTGCGATTGCTAATTTTTGATGATCAGCGACTTGTCGACGTCAAGCTTAAAGCGTCACGGCAGAGCATTAAAGTCGACTAGTGTGTTCAACCCCTAACTTCTGTTTTCATTAGCAGTGTGAAATTAGACACCGGCCTCTGAACATCATCTTCACTAATGTTGTCTTTTTGTTTTCTTCTTCAAGACGACCAGGTGTTCAGTGTCTCTTATGGGCCATCATTCAATTCAATTGACCGTTCGCAAAGACCCGCCCCCTTTAGTTAACGTCCAACAAGCCACGCCGCTCTCACACACACCATGTTCTCACAAAGTGAACACACATACTTTTGTTATGAAACAATAAATACCGTTTTGTGTCTCTTTAATGTGTCTGACAGATCGCTCAGTTAAAGCCGCTCGTGATCCGATCATCTCTTCCTTCTAGTTCCTTTATAGCATCAAATAAACATGAATGAACATCAGAAGGAATGTTGTTTCAACTGTGGAAAGACGTCAGTACAGTTTCTCAAGTTCAAATCCTCCAACGTTAATCTACTAACTCTCCTGACTACTTTGTCGGACAAAATGGCGGATGGCGGATCATGATTGGTCAGATCACTTGTCAATCAAACTCCATGCGAAGGGTCAATTGGACATTATTGACTGTGTTTGTGGAAATAAAAACGTGGTTTTCTGATTGAGATTTGATATGTGTGTGAGATTTGTTGCCCTGATTCGTGTGTGTGTGTGTGTCTGCAGTTTCGGGACTCAGCGTGGAGGAAGAAGAGGCTGTGAATGCATCACTTTAGAGCCGTCTGAGATGATTGTGGTGAGTGGCGCGTTACACACACGTCAGACGTTCAGACTGACGGCACATAGACTAAAGCCGCCAAAACATGCTTCCTTAAGGGATCAGTGCACTTCAGAATGAAAATCTCCTGATAATTTACTCTCCCGCACATCATCCAAGATGTTCATGTCTTTCTTTCTTCAGTCGAAAAGAAATTAAAGCTACACTGTGTAAGATCTAGCGGTGAAATTGTATATGACTACCAACTGAATATTACTTTCTAGCCCCATTCCTAGAGCGTTTTAACTCATACGGTGGCCGTGTTACTCCAAGATTAACATGGCTTCCAGTTCGCCAAGTGATGAGGTTACTTTAGAAAACTATTACAAATTGTATTTAGTTATTTAGTCAGTTAACATGTCGGTTATGAACTCTATGTAAAACGAATAATAGTTTTACGTTTTCGTACCATTTCATTGCTAACATCAGCTATCAGGTTCCCAAGCTAATGTTAGTGAAGTACAGTGCTATCGTTATTCTGTATATTGTACGAGATTAATAGTGTAAGGCAATGTTTACAGCGTAGGCTACATAAAATAACAACAGGCTTTCAAATCAGCCGGCGTCGCGAGTAATCTCCCCCTCGCGATCCTCACGGTGGCCCTGACTGCTAGGGCCGTCACTTTACGTTAGAAAATCGATTGCACAATCGATCGGACCAACCAACACAAGTTTCGAAAACGAAAATAGGGAATCGATTTTAACGGCTTTTTAAATTTTTTTTACCAAAAATGTGTGTTAGGTGGACAGATCAACACAGCACACACAACATGTAGGATGCTGGAAAATAACAATGTCTTCATGCTTTTTAATATTCGCTATTACTTCAATGCAAGTGAACAAGCGCGCTGTTATTTGTTGCGTAGTGACGTGTGTGTGTGTGTGTGTGTGTGTGTGTGTGTTCAAGTAAGCCAGAAATGCGCAGATTCTGCAATACGCTGTATTTAATATATCATGAGGATCACGAGTTGCGTATTTGCGCTAAATCCGCACAGATTTGTCTTACACGAACTTCCCCAGCAAAGTGAGTAAACACAGAAACACGCCAGATTGGCTCGTGATTTGATTTCCCGCCAAAGTTCATTTTTACCCGCATGTGGCGGGTAGGGCTGTCACTTTTGTGGAAAAATCCTGATCGATTTTTGAGACATAAGTGTTTAGTGAATTGATTGTAAAATCCATGTCTAAAGACGTTGAAAATTGAAATAATTAAAATGAAAATTAATATTCGAATCATGAGGAAAAACACGCCCGCGGTAGCAGAGGCGCGGCTGTCTGCTTTGCGAGTGGCAAAATTCTGAAGCTTAAAATGTAAAACGCATTTTCCAGCTGCACAGACACAGTGAGTGTCTGGCTCACTCATTGGCTGTGCTGCGTCAACTGCACATCCAATGGCACGGGCGCCTCCAACGTGTGCGCCAATGAGCTAGCATTACATCAGACACGTCAGAGCCCGCCAATGGGGGCGTGGCCAGACGCCCTCGAAATAGCCATAGTAGCAGGCTAGCAGCAGTTTACCACAACACAGCTCGCTCGGAGCGTTCAATGTCGGTTCTATATACTGTAAAACTTCAATTAATGTTAATAATATTTGTTTCAATCACCGAATGAAGCCTGCTATATTTAGGACAAGAGTCGCGACCTTAAATTGCTTGCACAAAACTCTTGATCAGCACTCAACATTTGTTTATTGTTGTTCATTATGCGCAGAGAGCGTGAGGGCGAGAGAGAGAGAGAGAGAGAGTGCCTGTGAGTGCGAGCGAGAGTGAGGTCTGCGGTCTTGGCCATTAGTTGATTTACTTGGTTTTGTGTAAGTTAATACGTTGTCAAATATGTTTAAACTTAAATAAACTACCTATACAAGTAGTTGTGTCTCTTTGTATTAATTTGTCCTGTTATTGACGTAATGCGCGTCATTGACAATATGCGCAACCAGATATTCGAATAGTTCGAATATATGTGTTTTTTATAGAGGGAATATTCGAACGTCATTTTTGAGCAATTTTGACAGCCCTAACACACACACACACACACACACACACACACACACACACACACGTCACTAAGCAACAAATAACGGCGCGCTTGTTCACTTGCACTGAAGTAATAGCAAATTTGGTGAACAGAAAAGACATTGTTATTTTCCAGCATCCCACATGTTCTGATACTGTATTGATCTGTCCTCCTAAAACACATTTTTGGTAAAAAAAAAAAAAGGCTGTTTAAATCGATTTCCGATTTTCGTTTTCGAAACTTTTGTTGGTTGGTCCGGTCGATTGTGCAATCGATTTTCGAACGTAAAGTGACAGCCCTAGTGGCGGGTCGAGGTGTTAATCTCAATCCCTGAATGTTGCGCTCCTGTTTCTCATTGTGCTGAAACTTCACGCCAATAAATCATCAGGAATATTGCTGACTTGTGCGTCTCAAGCGCCTCTTTACGCTCGTCCTAATGCCTGTTAGGTGGCCGTGGATTTGCCTGTATTTGGTGTTGAAAATGGAAACGTCTTTAGAAATGGAAATGAACACTTATGTCTCAAAAGTCGAAATTTTATTCACAAAAGTGACAGCCCTACTGACTGTAAAAGCGCGAAAGGCGAAGCTTGAATTTCTAGGTATGTCCCTCTTTGGCTAATGTATTTTCAAGATGGATGCGCAACATGGCTGCCGCCATTCGAGCGGCTCGCTCCTGTGTATTCTGAATGGCAGATTCTACGCTTACGAGAATACTTGATTAGTTGGTGGAAGTAATTACACATGAAAGAACTATGTTTTTTTTGGCTAAGAATCAACTCTCTCGGTCTCTCTTGTCAACACCATGTAAGTTACGTGGCTATGTCGAACAGCGGAGGTGGTTTGGGGCGAAGAGCGGGTCGGCGACGCTACCTGGTGTCGGTGTGGCTGTTGTACAGCGATGCCCGCCGTGTCAGAGTCTGATCTTGACCATGTATTACGTGATCAATCCTTGCACAGCTTATGAAAACCTTTTCACAATATTCTAATTTTGAATTTGGGGTTTTCATAAGCTGTAAGCCATAATCATCATAATTATAACCAATAAAGGCTTGAAATATCTCACTTTGCATGTAATGAGTCTATATAATATATTAGTTTCACCTTTTAAGTTGAATTACTGAAATAAATGGACTTTTGCACCATATTCTAAATTTTTTGAGTTTCACCTGTATAAAAATAGTACAATCTGATAATATACTGACAACCACCTTAAAACACAGGTTTTAAAAAGACACATGATGAATCATAGCTGAAGTTAATACTAATATATAGAAGATGCACAGTCTCATAACACAAATACAAACATGACACTAAAATAATGCAATAAACATTAATTTAACAACATTCATATATGCAACATTAAACCCCAATGTATAACTGATAAGAAAAAAACTACGAAAAAACATTAAAAGTGAGCCGCCACACAGGGAATTCTGGGAGTTTCAATTTATGGTTTTTCACTGTAAATTATAAGAATACTTGTTCTTCCAAAAACTGTACATTTAACAGTATTTTGCTGACAAATTACATTGAATATCCCATTAGATCTAGTAGTTTTTCACCGCATTTGTTAAGGGACTTACTAATTAACAGGTTTTTACTGAAGCGTTTTTAAGTTATTAAGAATTAAGTTCGGCTCACTGAAGCTGTGGTGTGATTCTCCCCCTGACCTGCAGAGGGCGACACCACTCTCTCACACACACACACACACACACACACACACACCCCCCAGCGGGTCCCTCTGAGATCCTCACACACTGTTTCCACCTTCGTCTTCTGCTGATTTATGGACATGTTCAGCTGTCGTCTTAAGGTAGTCCTTATTTTGAATGATCTGTCTAGGTTTTAGATGACAAGCATTAGGCTGAAGCACAGATAGACCCCTCTGGCCTTTTGCAAGACTTTTTTTTAGTCCATATTTTAGTTTTTGTTTAAATTTCTCAATTCTCAACTAAGCAAGTTCCCACCAACGTAATCTTCATGATTTTGCGAGACCACACGAGGCTCTCCCAATGATGTTGTTTGACAGTGTTGACGTAAAATAGGGATGTGCTAGGTCGTAAATGTCACCAAAATTATTAAAAACTCCCCCAAATTTCAGGATATGAATTGCCCTGTATGAGTTATTGTGTTTTGTAGTATATAGTATAGTATAATAGTATAATTAAGCAATATCACACAGAGCAAGAGCGCTGTTTTCTTGAATATCAACACGATTGAAAATGTGATAGTCATTTTGTACATCAATTCAATAAACAATAAGTTGATCGTGAATTGACCATTTTTAGACACAACTTTGTCAGTTTTGACTGTTTTACTCTTATTTTGCCAATGAAAACAGTCTAAAACAAAGCAGAAAAGTTTCCCAGCAACACATAGCGGTGTTTCGTTCTCGAATGATTCACTGTTTTTGAAGAAATCGGGTGAGTCAATGATTCAATGACTCAGTCATAAAGTCAGTGGACACTTGCTTCTTTCATGAATGAATCAGCTGGTTTGAACAAATCGGGTGAGTCAATGATTCAATGACTCAGTCATAAAGTCAGCGGACACTTGCTTCTTTCATGAATGCATCAGCTGGTTTGAATGAATCGGTTGAATGAATGATTCAATAATTCACTTATTACGTCACTGCCACCTACTGGCGGCTTTAGTTTCATATATGATAGTATCATTTAATTTTCCCCCAACATTTCCTATGTTTATATTTCAAATGTTATATTTAGAACATTAATTTTAATCTCATAACATTATTTAGGCAATTGAAATTGCAGTGTAAATGGATTTTGGTAAACGGTAAGATGGATTTTATTTATACTGATTTCAAATAGTGTATTTAATTAAAATATAATCAACAATATGTAACTTTACTTTTTATAAATAATTATACTTTTTTCACCTGAGCACCTATACCTAACTATAACTTGCCAAGGTTGTTTACAGGCAAATAAACCAAAGTATTACTGGTTTAGAGATTGGCATTGTTACCACCATAAACTTTGAGTTGCAAACCTAGACAACATAGCGGTGTTTCGTTCTCGAATGATTCACTGTTTTTGAACAAATCGGGTGAGTCAATGATTCAATAGTCATAAAGTCAGTGGACACTTGCTTCTTTCATGAATGAATCAGCTGGTTTGAATGAATCGGGTGAGTCAATGATTCAATAGTCATAAAGTCAGTGGACACTTGCTTCTTTCATGAATGAATCAGCTGGTTTGAATGAATCGGGTGAGTCAATGATTCAATGACTCATTCATAAAGTCAGTGGACACTTGCTTCTTTCATGAATGAATCAGCTGGTTTGAATGAATCGGGTGAGTCAATGATTCAATGATTCACTTATTAGGACACTGCCTCCTACTGGCGGCTTTAGTTTCATATATACTAGTACTTTCCCTTTTTGTTTGCGAACTCCTTTTGGTTTCAAGGCTGTTGTGGCATCAACTGTGTTTACTGCATATAGTAGTAGCCTGACTTTATCGCCTTTATTTACGGCTGTGACGTAAACAGACACGGACGAATGACGAAAGTACGCAGTTTACCCGGGAAATCCGTCCGGACAACTCTTAAAATATAAAAAAGAGCTTTTTTATTAATGAAAACAAAGCTTTTTGAAAACTCTCCAAAGTGGATCAATTCGTAAACGCTGTTTTCGTGTTGTAGTGTGGACTGTCAGAACGCAGGTATTTAAAAACGATGACGTAAGTTTAGTCATGTGACGCATGTTGTACCAATAGATATTCATGTTTATAGCGGTATTGTGTCTGTTATGTGCTGTTCACGTTCACACAGTTGCTAAAACATGTTCCTTCACACACTCTTGGAAAACGCCTGAAAACGCTAGTGTGGACGGAGAGCACTTTAAATGAAAACGCCGCTTTTAAAATGTATCCGGCTTAACTTAGACGGAGCCAAAGACGCAGCTCACGCTTCAGAGCTCTTGTTGCTTCAGCTCGCAGAGGATATTTGTGTATTTACGGTTTCCTACAGGAAGCTGTGGCCTGACTGCAGCTCTGCTGTGTGTTAAACTCCTCGACCCGACACACACTCGCTTTCTCTCGCCCCGTGACTCCACGAATGCCGTCCACATGAGTCTCCTGCGCCTGCACAGGCTCTCGGTGGTCTGGAAGAACTGGATGTTCAACCAAGATGCCGAGGCTTCTGACGCCGGCTCTTCTTCACAGGTGGAGAACGCCAGCGAGAGCGACGACGACGCTCTGCAGAGACACGGACCTCAGAGACACTCGCGACGCCGCTTCCATAAGGTGAACGCCGGAGGAGAGCGACAGCTCATCGTAGACGCCCAGGACGCCTCGGACGCGGTAAGAGCTCCAATATAAGATCATTTCTAGTGGTTTAGCAGTTTATATGTGACCCTGGACCACAAAACCAGTCACAAGGGTTAATTTTTTTTAATTGAGATGTATATATCATATGAAAGCTGAATAAATCAGCTTTCCGTTGGTGTATGGTGTGTTAGGATAGGACAATATTTGGCAGAGATACTACTATTGAAAATCTGAGGGTGCAAAAAAAATGTAAACATTGAGAAAATCTCCTTTAAAGTTGTGCATTTATGTTGGCGATTGAGCCGCATTCACTCACAAAAATACATTTTTTATATATTTACGGTAGGAAATGTACAAAATATCTTCATGGAACATGAGCTTCACTTAATATCCTAATGATTTTTTGACATAAAAAGAAAAATCGATCATTTTGACCCATACAATGTATTGTTGGCTATTGCCACAAATATACCTGTGAGACATGTGACTGGTTTTGTGATCCAGGCTCACATATTATGATTTCTAATGTCTGAGAAATGAAGTCGAGTGAAGTTCAACACGCTCATGTGTTGATGAGTTTCTTCCGCTGATATGATCTGTCTGTCAGTTAGGCTTCTCAGTAATCTGTTGTACACACTCCTCAGTTCTTGGACACGAGGCTTTGTGCCGTTAGTTAGCAGACTATACGGTACTGTTTCCTGAGTGTGTGTGTGTGTGTGTGTGTGTGTGTGTGGCAGGTAAGAGCTCATCCTCTCTTTGTTCACTGTGGATGTACTTTGTTTTTGTCAGTCGGTCAGTGTAATGTGTTGGTCAACATAAGCACATGTTTATTGAAGGCCAAAGAACATTAAACTACCCAATAAAGCCCACTGTATCCCATTTTATATTTCTAAAGGATCAACATGATCAAAACTATTGATTTTATTGAAGCTATTGTATTTGTACAAACGTCCTTCTTCAGCTCGTGTGTTTCTGCTGTCAAATCTGCACTGATTTTATCAAGTAAACATAAGAATAACTTTGATATTGTTAGTAATATTTCAGACTTCGGTTTACTTGATTATCATACATATTTTTTTGAAAAATCACGAGTATCAAATATGATCATCAGGCTTTTGAGGAAGGTTTATTTGTTCATCTCTCAATCATCAATGTATTACAATATTTTTTTTTTTAAACCACAGCTTTTGATCATCAAAACGAATCATTTAAATAACATTATTGGCAGATATCGATATTTATATGTAAAATTCTTGCAATGTCCTAATTCTAATTCAATACAGAAGAAAAAAGAAAAAAGTACAAAAAATGATTGTAAAATATGCTTTTTTAAAGTTTTAATTCGAATGAATGTCAAGTAGAGAAATAAACATACTTTCACATGGAGTGTGTGTGTGTGCACATCTTAATCATAATTTTTTGAAAAGGTTTAACTTTTTAATTCAAACAATTATCAGAAATGCTTAATTAGTAAATGTCATTCTGGGTTTTCTAGAGTTGCACCACATGACATTGATTTGGCACACAAAATATAAGCAGTGAAACCTTTAAGATATAGGTTTTTTTTCTAAGAAATAATAAAAAATTTCCAAAGTATGTAAGATTTCCTTTTCTTTTAGTTAGACTTTTTTCTTGATGATGATATCAGGGCTATCAGTATGATATCAGGGCTATCAGTATGATATCAGTATTTTCGAGTACATGAATAGACAGACCATGGCTGTGTGTTCAGTGAAGGCTCAGCTTATATGTGAAGTGATCAGCAGTGAGAAAGTAAACAAGGGATGCAAACTAGAGCAGAACCGCGTGTCTTTGGTGTCGTTTCCTGTCAGACTGAAACTCGTCTGGGCCGCTGAATAACAGTCAAGCTTTGATGGTTCACCAGTTTCTGCTGTCACTGCGTCTGTGCTTCTCCATATGTCATGAAGAGTTAAAAGTGTGGGTTACACTTTATTTTGATGCTCCTTTTGGACATTCTGTTGACTATAAGTAACTACAAGTCAACTAACTCTCAGTAGAGTATTAGTAGAGTATTAGTAGAGTATTGGTAGAGCATTGGTAGAGTATTGGTAGAGTGTTAGTAGATTGTTAGTAGAGCATTGGTAGAGTATTGGTAGAGCATTGGTAGATTATTGGTAGAGCATTGGTAGAGTATTAGTATTAGTAGAGCATTAGTATTAGTAGAGCATTGGTAGAGTATTGGTAGAGCATTGGTAGAGTATTTGTAGAGTATTAGTATTAGTAGAGCATTGGTAGAGCATTGGTAGAGCATTGGTAGAGCATTGGTAGAGCATTGGTAGAGCATTGGTAGAGCATTGGTAGAGTATTGGTAGAGCATTGGTAGAGTATTTGTAGAGTATTAGTATTAGTAGAGCATTGGTAGAGTATTGGTAGAGCATTGGTAGAGTATTGGTAGAGTATTGGTAGAGCATTGGTAGAGTATTGGTAGAGCATTGGTAGAGTATTTGTAGAGTATTAGTATTAGTAGAGCATTGGTAGAGCATTGGTAGAGCATTGGTAGAGCATTGGTAGAGCATTGGTAGAGCATTGGTAGAGCATTGGTAGAGTATTGGTAGAGCATTGGTAGAGTATTTGTAGAGTATTAGTATTAGTAGAGCATTGGTAGAGTATTGGTAGAGCATTGGTAGAGTATTGGTAGAGCATTGGTAGAGTGTTAGTAGATTGTTAGTAGAGCATTGGTAGATTATTGGTAGAGCATTGGTAGAGTATTAGTATTAGTAGAGCATTGGTAGAGTATTGGTAGGTATTGGTAGAGCATTGGTAGAGTATTAGTATTAGTAGAGCATTAGTATTAGTAGAGCATTGGTAGAGTATTGGTAGAGTATTGGTAGAGCATTGGTAGAGTATTTGTAGAGTATTAGTATTAGTAGAGCATTGGTAGAGTATTGGTAGAGCATTGGTAGAGCATTGGTAGAGCATTGGTAGAGTATTGGTAGAGCATTGGTAGAGTATTTGTAGAGTATTAGTATTAGTAGAGCATTGGTAGAGTATTGGTAGAGTATTGGTAGAGCATTGGTAGAGTATTGGTAGAGCATTGGTAGAGTATTGGTAGGTATTGGTAGAGCATTGGTAGAGTATTGGTAGAGCATTGGTAGAGTGTTAGTAGATTGTTAGTAGAGCATTGGTAGAGTATTAGTAGAGCATTGGTAGAGTATTGGTAGGTATTGGTAGAGCATTGGTAGGTATTGGTAGAGCATTGGTAGAGTATTGGTAGAGCATTGGTAGAGTATTGGTAGAGTATTGGCAGAGTATTGGTAGAGTATTGGTAGAGTATTGGTAGAGCATTGGTAGAGTATTGGTAGAGCATTGGTAGAGCATTGGTAGAGCATTGGTAGAGCATTGGTAGAGCATTGGTAGAGTATTAGTAGAGCATTGGTAGAGTGTTAGTAGATTGTTAGTAGAGCATTGGTAGAGTATTAGTAGAGCATTGGTAGAGTATTAGTAGGTATTGGTAGAGCATTGGTAGAGTATTGGTAGAGTATTGGTAGAGCATTGGTAGAGTATTGGTAGAGCATTGGTAGAGCATTGGTAGAGCATTGGTAGAGTATTGGTAGAGCATTGGTAGAGCATTGGTAGAGCATTGGTAGGTATTGGTAGAGTATTAGTAGAGTATTGGTAGAGCATTGGTAGAGTATTGGTAGGTATTGGTAGAGCATTGGTAGAGTATTGGTAGAGCATTGGTAGAGTGTTAGTAGATTGTTAGTAGAGCATTGGTAGAGTATTGGTAGAGCATTGGTAGAGTATTGGTAGGTATTGGTAGAGCATTGGTAGAGTATTAGTAGAGCATTGGTAGAGTATTGGTAGGTATTGGTAGAGCATTGGTAGGTATTGGTAGAGCATTGGTAGAGTATTGGTAGAGCATTGGTAGAGTATTGGTAGAGTATTGGCAGAGTATTGGTAGAGTATTGGTAGAGTATTGGTAGAGCATTGGTAGAGCATTGGTAGAGCATTGGTAGAGCATTGGTAGAGTATTAGTAGAGCATTGGTAGAGTGTTAGTAGATTGTTAGTAGAGCATTGGTAGAGTATTAGTAGAGCATTGGTAGAGTATTGGTAGGTATTGGTAGAGCATTGGTAGAGTATTGGTAGAGCATTGGTAGAGTATTGGTAGAGTATTGGTAGAGTATTGGTAGAGTATTGGTAGAGTATTGGTAGAGCATTGGTAGAGCATTGGTAGAGTATTGGTAGAGCATTGGTAGAGCATTGGTAGAGCATTGGTAGAGTATTGGTAGAGCATTGGTAGAGCATTGGTAGAGCATTGGTAGGTATTGGTAGAGTATTAGTAGAGCATTGGTAGAGCATTGGTAGAGCATTGGTAGAGCATTGGTAGAGCATTGGTAGGTATTGGTAGAGTATTAGTAGAGCATTGGTAGAGGATTGGTAGAGCATTGGTAGAGGATTGGTAGAGTATTAGTAGAGCATTGGTAGAGCATTGGTAGGTATTGGTAGAGCATTGGGAGGTATTGGTGGAGCATTGGTAGAGCATTGGTAGAGCATTGGTAGAGTATTAGTATTGGTAGAGCATTGGTAGAGCATTGGTAGAGCATTGGTAGAGCATTGGTAGAGCATTGGTAGGTATTGGTAGAGTATTAGTAGAGCATTGGTAGAGCATTGGTAGAGCATTGGTAGAGGATTGGTAGAGGATTGGTAGAGCATTGGTAGAGCATTGGTAGAGCATTGGTAGAGCATTGGTAGAGGATTGGTAGAGGATTGGTAGAGCATTGGTAGAGCATTGGTAGAGCATTGGTAGAGCATTGGTAGAGCATTGGTAGAGCATTGGTAGAGTATCGGTAGAGCATTGGTAGAGCATTGGTAGGGCATTGGTAGAGGATTGGTAGAGTATTAGTATATTAGAGTATTACTAGAGTATTAGTTGACTGTCTGCTTAATATCTGTTGACTCTATTGTGATGCTCTTCAACAGAATTTCTACTGACTATAAGTAACTTTGCAACTACATGTCAACTTCTAACCCTACCAGTCTACTAATACTCTACTAATACTCTACACACACT